CACTAGGTGGAAAGACACTAGAAGGATCCTAGCTAACGAGGGCTTTAGGAATCGCCAAGCCCGGCGGTGGATGGACACAGTGGCGCAGACAAAGCATGATGGGGAGGATGGTGCCGGACCGGGCTGGCTTTCATTCTGTGGCCCAGGGGCTCACAGCCACCCTATAGGGCAGCAGAACTGCCCCAATGCATTTCCTAGACTTTCCAGCTCTTTATGGGAGTAGAAGGCCCTGCCCTTCTCCCCAGAAGCGGCTGGTGGTTTTGAACTGCTGACCTGACGGTGTAGCCAGCAACCCAGTGTGTTACCACGATGCCAGCAGGGCTCCTTTCTTGGACTAACCCCCCCCCCATCACTGCCTTCAAGTCCATGCTGACTCAAAGCGATCCTACAGGGGAGGGTCGAACTGCCCCTCAGAGTGAACGCTAAATAACGCCCCTGTGTGGACTGACCAGACGGACAACTTCCATGTAGAGAAAGAAGCACGCAGGGACAGTCTTACTCTGACCGGGGACGGCCCGTCCTAGGCATCAGCTCAAACTGCTGGTGCCTCTGGTGCCCTGCTCATGAAGGGGCAGAGCCCCCCAGGCGATGCCTTCTGCTGGGTGGAGATGGGTGAGGCAGCATTCTGGAAAGCCCCAGGGCAGAACTAGACTCTTCCTCACCATCTGGGAGAGGCAAAACACTCCCCGAGAAAAGTGCAAAGAAAGAGTGGGTGTGGCGTGCGACAGGGCCTTTTGTAGACCGTGGCCTGGAATCGGTGCAGCTGGACACTCTCCTTGGGCTCAAGGCTTCACTGGGCTTCGGCCCAGGACAGAAACGGGGTTCAGCTGAGGCGTGGGGTGACCTTGAGACCAGAGAGACTCTGGATAGTGGTGACTGAGAGATGCATCAAGTTTCTGTCTCCCCCGCACACCCCAAAATAAGAAGCGAATTTATAGGGGCCCAGGTTAACTGGCACCGTGGCTTTGGCGTTGGCCAGCAGTTCAAACCCACCGGCCATTCTGCTGGAGAAAGATGAGAGGCTGTTGGCTCCCGTGAAGGTCTTAGAAACCCCACACAATCGGTTCCAGTGGGTTGGGTTGGGTTTTGGGGTAATCATAACTCGCAT